ATGTAGACAATATCTAAAATGATTATAGATATAGTTGGATTAATATCTACCATATTGGTAACAGTTTTCTGTTCATTGCCCTTGTTTTTTGTCTTCCACTTTTTTTCTGCCTTCTCTGGCTTTAATTGAGCATTTTATATCATTTGATTTTCTCTCCTCTCTTCACATGTCCATTCTACTTCTTCAAAAATTCTTTTTTTAGTGGTTACTCTAAAGATTGTAATACACACTTACAACTTTATATAAGTACAATTTCAAATAACACCACACCATTCACATAGTGCAAGTTACCTTATAACAGAGTTTTCCCAGTTCCTCCCTCCTGTCCCTTATAACACTGCTGTCATACATTTCACTTATTCATAAGAATTAATCATCCAATATTTTGTTGCTATTATTTTAAATAAACTGTTATGTTAGATCTATTAAGAATAAAAATAAACGATTTAATTTTATCTTCATTATTCACTCTATAACTCTTTTCCTTTCTTCATGTAGATCCAAATTTCTGACCTACATCATTTTCCACCTCTCTGAAGAACTTCTTTCAACATTTCTTGTAAAACAGATTTATTGGTGACAAATTCCTGCTATTTTTTTTTTTTTGTCTGAAAAAAGTCTTTATTTCTCTCTCACTTTTGAAGGATAATTTCACTGGATATAGAATTCTAGATTGCTGGATCTTTCTTTCAAATTTTAAAATATTTTATCCCACGTCTTCCTGCTTTCGTGATGTATAAAGAGAAGTATGATGTAATTCTTACCTTCGTTCCTCTACAGGAAAGGTGTTTTTCCCCCTCTGGCTTCTTTCAAGATTTTATCTTTCTCTTTGATTTTCTGCAGTTTGAATATGATATGCCTAGGAATTTTTAGCATTTACACTGCTTGGTGTTCTGAGAGCTCCTTGAATCTGTAGTTTGATGTTTGCTAATCACTGTGGCAAATTCTCAGCCTTTATTAATTCAAATATTTTTTCTGTTCCTTTTCTCTTTGCTATGAGTTGAATGTGTCTCCCAAAGTTTCATGTATTAGAAACTTAATCCCCACTCTAACAATGTTAAGAGGATGAGAAATCCTATTATGGTAACTCAAAGGTGGGGCCTTGAGGAGGCGATTAGAATGTGAGGGCTGTGCCCTTGTGAATAGATTCATCTACTCATGGAGTAACAAGTTGATGGTTTAATAAGTGGTAAGGGGTGTCATTCTGATGGTGTTAAAAGGAGAGCAAGTGAGGTCAGCTCTCTCAGCCATTCACTATGTGACACCCTGTGTTGCTGTGGAGAGTCACTACCAAGAACAAAGCCCTCACCAGACGTGTTCCCTGGACTTTGGACTTCCCAGCCTCCAAAACTGTAAGAAATAAATTTTGTCTCTTTATTTGTTACCCAGTTTCAGGCACTCTGTTGTAAGCAACGGAAACAGACTAATGCTCTTTCTTTCTCTTCTGATATTCCTGTTATGTGTATAACCTTTAATAATTTTCCCACAGTTCTCGAATAATCTGTTTTTTTAGTCTCTGTTTCTCTCTGCTTTTCAAGTTGGGAAGTTTCTACTGACATATTTTCAAGCTCACTGATTCTTTCTTCTTCCAGGTCTATTATACTAATGAGCCCATCAAAGGCATTCTTCATTTCTGTTAACAGTGTTTTCGATTTCTAGCACTTCCTTTTGCTCTGTTCTAAGAGTTTCACTGTCTTTGCTTACATTACCCATCTGTTCTTAAAAGCTGTGCACTTTTTCCTTTAGAGTCCTTAGCATATTAATCATGGTTATTTTCAATTCCTGGTATAAGTCCAAAATGTCGGTCATATTAGAATCTGGTACTAATGCATGCTTTGTCTTTTCAGACTGTGCTTTTTCCTATTAGTGTGCCTTGTGACTTTTTTGTTGAGAGTCAGACATGAGGTACTGGGTAAAAGTTACTAATAGGCCTTTTACGTTTACCTGCCTAGGATTAGGGTGTGTTTACCGTTTGCTATAGTTGTATGTCTCAGAGGCTAGAATTTCCTTTGCTGTCTTTGTTTTTTCTTTCTCCTCTATCATTTTTTTGTTTCCCTAGAAACTTCTCCTTAAATAAGATCTCAGAGGTGCAGTTCCTTCAGTTGTACTCTATTGATGTGGTGGTAAAATGGGGGGG